TGTACTTGGCTACAGCTGTATATGTGTTGGGACTTCTGCTTAGGCTGGGGGCTTGGTGTTAAGGCTGTTCTCCTATGCACAGATATTTATATTAAAATGGCCCCAAGTGGTCAGTATGGTTCTCACTGATAGTGTTAAGGGTGTTAACACTGCAAGATCTAAACCTGTGCTCATTGATGTATATTTAAAATCCAATGTAGCTATGTTTTATTCTGCTACTGACTGCCAGTCACTGATGAAAGGTCACACTTTCTGTGTCGATGCCTCTTTCCAGGTCTGCTGATGTTCGCCATCACACACATCCTGTACTCTTCAGCCTTTGGCATGAAGCCTCTGGACCTCAAAGCCGGCTTGTTGATGGGCGTTGTTTCCAGCTGCAGTTATGCCTTCCTGTACTCCTACCTCTCGGGCCCATTCACCTACTTGGTAGCTGTCTACACGGCTTTGATTGGCTTCATGGGCTGGCGGGCGATCGCCGGCATGCAGCTGTGCAACGACCTCTGGACATGGACCAAGCTCTCGGCCTGCATCGGCGCGATGCTCTTCATGGTGTCGGATCTAACCATTGCACTTAACAAGTTCTGCTTTCCTGTGCCCTATTCGCGCTTCATCATCATGGCTACTTACTACGCAGCCCAAATGCTTATTGCACTGTCAGCCGTAGAGACCAGAGATGAAGAGGACTTCAGAAAGAGGAGCTAGGGAGGAGTGCCAATAGTCTGTGAACATGTGGGTTATATCTCAGGTGCTGTAGCTGCATTCACCCCTGAGAGAGATCTCCATTTCTCTAGGCACACTGGTGATCTTGATTTTGCTTCTTTGAAGCATTACCTTTGGGAATTATTTTTTCAATGGCTTTCTCTGAATACAGCTTACTTCAGTGTGGAGTCCACATCAGAAATCTTAGACTGTCCCTGCAGTAGTTACTCATTCAACTGTTCCTCCTTGGAAGTGCTGTACTACTGCGTTTTACTTGTTAGTCTTGAAACTGATGCTGAATGTCTGGGAAGAGGAGGGCTGATGGTAAAGAGGTTTGGCCATGCACTGTACTAAAAGGCTTGCACTCAGTTGTAGGCAGACAGGCACAGATCTCTGCTGAAATCATAGGTAAAAATTAATTTAACCAATGTTTGTTTCTTTTTGTGCATTACAAACTCAGTATGCAAACTGGAGCAATTGCCTCTGCTGAAAGGAAGCTTGGAGGGAGAGCATAAACAGCATATCCAGATGGGAGCTGAGCTTTGGAGTCAATAGCAGCATGTGGGGTGGCAGGACCAGCACAAAAGCAGAACACGAAGCCGAGGGCACAGAGCAAGAGGTGTGCTGGCGTGCAGTGCTGTGTGCTTTGATCATGGTTGATCAGGGTAGGTCTATAGGTGCAAGTGAGCATTGCCACATGTGGCAGAACTAGGAGTTTGGTGGGATTTCAGGGACATCTAGGTAGCCAGGCGAAAATGTTTTCCTCCCCAAGCATGTGCAGTTACACAGTGCCTGCAGCCACCAGTTGCAGCTGGGATGTAATGGGCACAGGAGGAACTTCTGAGTTTTACAGCAGAACTTTTAGCTTGTGTCTTACTAGTGTATTCCTAATCGTCCTTAGTACAGCAGACAGGAATCTAACCTTTATGGCTTTCTTCCCCAGTGTCCTAACCAGTAATATTCCATACACCCATTCAGCTTTACAGCACTGCTTCTAGCAGTATCTTGAATCTTTGTGTGAGGACTTTGTGTGGTCAAGGCCCTGATTTTCGACGTAGATTGTTATTGGGTTTTGCCAGCTGGTGGTAAACAATCATCTTTGCACCACTTCTTTTTTTTTTTTTTTCAGAAAGCCCCTTTTCAGCAGAGCTTCCTGAAAAGCACTGTCCTGTGTGTTCAAAGTGCCTGCTACTTCCTTCTCAAGCTCCCATGGATGCAGTGAAGATGAGCCATCGAGCTCTCTGTTTAATCCTGATCCAAATTCTTTTGTTCGTTTGTCTCACCATCTGTTGAAGCAAGATTACTTCTGACTTCAGACTTTCTTAAGAAGATATAGGAAGAGGTTGCCCTGATTTTTAATCTGAGTTCATTTGTGATCATATATATATATATTTTTCCTGTTATTTAGGATATCTATCAGCAAGATCTATTTCTATTGGAAAGTATCTTACTATCTTGAACGTGCTTTTCCCTTTCTTCCTGTGCCACTCCTTTGGACTGAGATGCTTCCACAATGGCTTGTTTTAAGACAGGAGTGCACTTATGTGTGCAGAGGAAGCTTGCTGAGGGTTCCAGCACCTCTTCAAACTGCAGCCAAACAGGGACAACCAGAGCAGACTGCACAAGTCAAATCCATGCATGTCCTAACAGCCCCTTGAACATGCTCATATGGGCAGAGGGAGCAGAGGGATCAGACCTCCAGAGCATCCTTGTGGGATGAAAATCACCACGGTCTTCACACCTAGCATGCCCAGACTATTCCAGGCAAAAGCCTGGCACATTCAGCAGAGCAGGAATTCCTCTTCAGGAGGAGTGCAGCTAGTTCAGGGAAGAGCTGAGGAAACCCTACCAACCCTGCCAGCTTTTCCCTTGGTGCTGAGACATCCTGAGTGGGTCTCCTGCTCCTCGCCAGCCTTGTGTGGGGTGTCTGGGTAGGGAATAGGCATTGCCTCCCCATGACTTCTGCATCAGTGCAAATTCAGCCAGTGTTACAAAAATCTAGGTTAGCCATCCTGACCCCGTGGAGGCATCTGCTGCTTTTCAGACAGAGATCATAAAGGTCAGCTGCATTACTGAGAGGGAAAGCACTGGAGGTAGCACAGCCCTGTGTAATCCTTTCCCTTTAATACTGTGTGTATTCATTCAGTGGCACACTGGGGTCTGCCTGAGTAAACAGCTGAAGGAATTTAGAGCCATAAACGATCTTCATTCATCAGCATGGCTTATCTCCTGGCCACAGATTGAATCCTGCAGTGTAGCTCTCTGCAGATATCATCTGCTGTTACTCAGCTTGATTGCTTGCAGACCTCTTCCTGCAACAGACTGACCTAGCTAAGATGAAATCTAAGTATTTGGGGTTAACCCCACTATCTCCCCAGCATGTGAGCAAATGGCACATTGCAGTCTGAGTCACAGCTCCTTGGCACAGATCAGTCCAGCATACTCAGTCCTCAGCTGGCAGCTCTTCAGAGGAGCCCCCCACAACCTGAGCTTCCCTTTGCTTTGAAGGAAATGCATATGTGATAAAGTTAGCTTTATTTAAAAGTCTGAGTTGTGATTCTCTCTTTCTTCCTCTCTAGAAATGAGTAGTCTTCAACTTCCTGAAGACAGCTGAGTTGCTCTTCTGTGTGCTTTTCCATCTTGGCTTGCTTTGTTGTCCTGATCCACCATCAGCCACTGGATACCTGCAGAAAAGTGTCTTTAAGTGTTATTAGGAGGTCTGTCCCATCCACTAGATATCAGAGGTGCTGTTTCTGGCATCAGAGGTCTCTGGGTGGCTCTAGCTGGGACAGCAGAAACATGTGCAGTGCAAGTGAGCTGTTCCCTTGCTGTCCCCTCACCTGGAGTGACCTGGCTGGGATGTATTTTGGCCAGTCATGCTGGCTCTGTTCCAGTTCTGCAACAGCTTCAGCCTTCCCAGGGACACGAGGCAGAGCCCTCAGCATACAAAGGAGAGTCCTGGCTGGCTCAGAGGTTTGTCAGCAAAGGCTCTGTCTTCAAAATCTCTTTCCTGCTCCTCTTTCTAATCCATATTACTTGAATGAGACCATTTTCTTGGAGGCTCTTTCCTGCTGGGAAAAGACCAGCTACTGTGGACAGTGATTTAACACAATTTTGAGTTTCTCAAACCCTGAGAAACACTAAGCAGTTTCTGGCAGCCTGTTAAATACCTTCATTGGGATTAAAACAGTTCCCCCAACCTCAGCGAGGGCAAGCTTCACTTAGAAATGGAACAAACAAGAAGTGGGAACCGTGTGACAGTGGCATTGCCTTTGTGGACCTTCCTGTTGTCTCTTTGCACTGTAAAACTGTGAGGTTTGATCCATTCTTCTCCTTTTCAAGGGTACAGGCTTTGGAAAGCACCCAGTCTTTGGCCCTGGAACATTACAGAGGGAATGAAGCATCCCAGGTGGTATAGTGTGCCTGGCCCCAGCAGTGGCAGCTCCTTTGCTTGCTAAGTACAGGGGCTTTTTTTCACACTGCTGTATCCGAACACCCCTATGCAACTCCTGTCTGTGGTCACTTGAGGTTACACATGTGGTCTGATTACCTGTCCCCACTTTCCCTTCTCTAGCTTTTGCCCTCTTGGAGATCTTTTGGCTCCTTATTTGGACATATAAAAGGTGTAGCATGTTCTTTTCAGCCTCTTTGTGTAGACAGATCCTCCTCGCACAGAATTCCTAGTGAAGTCAAAGAAGCAATGTGAATTGCAACTGCTTCTTAAATGCTGGTAATGCTTCTGGGCTGTGCCAGGCACACTGATGTCAGCAGGGTGATGCTCATGTAGAAATGGCAGGTTGAGAAGAACAAAACCAGAGAATTTTAGCAGCATTACTCCTGCTCTACCTAGGAAGTGGTATTCATGCTGAACACCAGGCTTCTTACTCCTCCATACTGGGGCAACTGTAAGGCTGATTGGTTTACAAATTATTCTAACATGGCTTTTAACTAGATTCCTGAAGGTTTCATGTTGCAATCAGTGGAGGTAATGTATATATTTTTACAGAAATATATAAAATTCCCCAGGAAGAACTTTGCAGAATTTTTAGTGGTCTTCAAAGTTTCCCAGCCCTGTAGTTTGACACTAACACCTGTCTCTTTTCAGCTTGCTATCATGATAACTTTGGGAGCTGTTCTGAAGAAGCTGATCAAAGCAAACAGCAACTGTAAAGCTTGGTGGCAGGTGCTTCTTTCTTTTTGTTTGGTTTCTGGATACAGACAGGGACTCTTTTAAGCAGAAGCATTTTAACTGTGTTCTTGGAAGAGGATGGGAAGTTGCTGACTTCTTGTGACAGAAGTCCTCCTGCCTTTTATCCATGCTTGCTCCTTTTGTGGCCTTGGGTAAAACATTTAAATTTTCTGGGCCCAGGTCCTCATCTGGTGTAAAAAGGCACAAGTGTATGAAGGCCAGTGCTATGCCAAGTTACCACTGCAGAGGACTGGGCTCTCACCCCATTTCTAAAATGGGGTTCTTAGCACTTACCTCACGAGGATGCTGTGAGGATTAATGCTCATATAGCACTTTGAAGATGTAGAGTGCTATTAAAGTCCCAAGTATTATCCTACTTTAGTGTTAAAAATGCTTTTAGGGATCTGCGGGATCTCTCTTAAAGCATGGAATGTGTGACTGCCTTTTCAATTTGCATCAGATGGAAAGCAAATGCAAAATATTTATTCCTACTGGTTAACAGGATGATCTCAGCTGCACCTGAACTCTGAGGAAGGTTTAGCTTAAAAATATGAACACTAATTTCAGTTTTGCAAATCTTTCTTTCGTTCTTCTAAAAGCCTCAACCAAATTCTTAGATGTGAACCTTGCATTGAAATTTTGCTGTCTGGTCTTATCCCTGACCTTTAGCTAGAATAAATCTAAACTAACCAAAACACAGTGTGCTCACAGTCTGCTATGGCTGCTGAGAAGACTGGAACAGAAAATGAAGTCGTTCTATTCAACGTTCATTCTGCCGGAGGTCAGCTAGGTTTCATGGGCTAACTTGCAAAGG